GAGCTACTTTTTTTTTTTCACTTTGAGTTTCTGTTACAATGATGATCACTGTAACAGCAATGTTTTGCACTTCCATGAATGAGTTACATTCATAACATCTGTGATTACTAATGATCTGTGATTGGTTACAGCTAACCACATGGTACAGGGTGCTGTGATTGGCCCAGGTACCATGTGATAGCTGTGGACCAATAACAGCATCACTATAGGAATCACTGCTATTAGGAATTCAATTTATTCATAACAGCTTTGTTGACATTGTAATCATGTGATGAAATCACATGATCCCCTGGCCAATCAAAGTGGCCAGGTACTGTGAGCTGCAATCTGTTGTGTCCTGTGGTTGTGGGAGCAGCATGGTGCGTGCTTCAAGGGGTTCGCCCCTTGTGTGCCATGTGACATACAGGTACATCCAATATATGTACTACGGGTGATCAGCGACTGGTTAATGCAGAAGAGACAAAGCATGTCTCTTCTGCATTTAAAAATCCTGCCTGTTTGGCCATTTTTTTGTAATTTACATAAAGTACCAAATGAGGGCTGGTTCACACTACTGTGGTGTGGGAAACCCCATGTGATTCAGACAGGAATCATACTGCATTCCTGTTCAAATCACATACGAATCTTTGCAGTGAGATTTCAGCCATTCATTTTGTATGGCTCACATCGCACCGCAAATTGCACCACACCCACAGGAAAGGTGCATGCACCCATGCGATTCAATTCACCCAATCGCACTGCATTTTGTGAACCTTTTTGAGGTGCCTTTAGCTTAACATAGCCACCCAGAGGGATTCGCACAGTAGGAGTGTGAACCAGCACTTAAAATGAAAAATAAAAATGCCCAATTCCTTTAAATAATATAAATACTGACAATTATTTTAGTGAACACCACAGAAGTAGAGCTGGGTAGAATATACAAGCTGCATAAATATCAGTGAATAAAAAGTTGCAAATATAACAACAAAATAACAATAAATGGCTTCATGTACACAAGCCTACTCAGACTGTAGGCCGCTGGTATACGCAAATCACGGTAAAAATGCAGTACCATGGTTGCCGCATTTTTACAGCATTTTGTGTTTTCCCGCAGTCGACGGTCAAAACGTTTCTATCCTGAGCGTGATTCTTTCTTTCACATTCATGAGAGGGAGGTTTAACCATACCTAAAAGCAGCAGCTCTTAACCTCCCTATCGGTATGATTTATGTCAATATTTCTGTGCTCAAAGCGGTACATTTTTTTGCATGGAAATATGTTTTTTTTTATTGTAGCCTGTAATTCTCAGGAATAACTCACTGAAATCTGTCCGAACAAGAGTCTACACATCCCGGGTATGATAAAATTTGAAACACTAAATCATAAATTATAATATAATAAATAATCATAAAAAAATAATAATATAATAATAAATGTAATTCAATAATGTAATCAAACCAAAAACACTGAAATTTGAAATAGTGCGCCAAGTTCGCACATCACTGAGCTTAGTCGCAAAATCGTTTTCAGTGTTTGATGAATTTCCCCATGAATCATTATCACTCAATTCTGCAAGTGGTTCTAATTTACTATCGCTGTTCTCTAGCTGGTCTAAAACTACTTTTGACCTAAAGGGACGCTTTTTGGACGCCATGGACTTTTCTCAGTTTCCAGTTAGAAAGAACAGTAAAAATGCAGGCACAGGACAAAGCAGTAGGGACAAAATGAATGTGAAATGCTGTGATACAGTAATGTTTTACTATGTGATTTTAGTGTATTGAGTGAATGTCACTTTTAAAATTTTTTCATTTCCCGCCGATTCCGTCCCCCGTACGTCCCGTACGTCCCGACGCTCGCAGGGACCGAAACCCAGAAGGCATCGGCTGGAGGAGATGGTTGAGGACTCTGCAGGGGGGACATCGCAGGAGCACAGGACAAGGTAAGTGAAACAGGGAGTCCCAGAGCAACGCTGCAGGGTATTCCCGAGTGTAGCTCGGGGTTACCGCTTTTGGTACTGAAAGTTTACCCCGAGATACACTCGGGAATGCCGCCAGGGAGGGTAAACTCTGCTAAAAGCCTATGTATACATGGACATATTGGCTTTTATGGAGTTGAGTTTAGGAGCTTTGGCAAAAAAATGCCAAAAGCTCCTAAACCCGAGTTTAGCAGCTACTCGTGTACATGAAGCCTTGCATGTCAATCAAATCCTCCATGAAAATAATGACTAATAATATCCAGTTTAGTGCAACATTCTCATAATGCAGAAGTCCACACAAAAGTCTTCAGATTTCCAAAACTGTCTCCACACTATCATTTACCATCAGTGCCAAAATTAGACAGACACTCACCAAATGGTCATGCCTTCTTTGGTTAAAGATAGGCATTCAGCACTTTAAATCCCAGGGCTGTCAGTCTCCTCAACTCCACTTTGCCCCCAGATTAATAGAAAGTCTCCCTCTCTCCATCAATAATAAATTGAAGAGAGAAGCTCAATAGTGCATTCACTTTTAAAACTACTATAAAAAGAGAAGTTTCGTTTTTTTTTCTGAAAGTATACTTGCCTAGGTGATAGGTCCCCACCATCTCTAAGACTGAGTGATCAAACACTGCTGATCCTAGGATCTCAGCGCTCTGTGAGCAAAGAGCTGGTGACTGTCAGTCACCGCTCTCTGCTCTGCCCCTCCCCCTTCCCCAGCACTCACTGGAGCTCTGAGCTGTGGAGGGGGTGGGAATGGCTGGTTCAGATTCTCAGTGGCGCACTGAGAGGCTGAGCCAGCTGTCAGTAGGCATCTGGGTGGGTGAGAGGGAGTAGCTGGCTCAGGTTGTCAGCACAACACTGAGAGGCTGAGCCAGCTGTCAGTAGGCATCTGGGTGGGTGGGTGAGAGGGAGTAGCTGGCTCAGGCTGTCAGCACAACACTGAGAGGCTGAGCCAGCTGTCAGTAGGCATCTGGGTGGGTGGGTGAGAGGGAGTAGCTGGCTCAGGCTGTCAGCACAACACTGAGAGGCTGAGCCAGCTGTCAGTAGGCATCTGGGTGGGTGGGTGAGAGGGAATAGCTGGCTCAGGCTGTCAGCACAACACTGAGAGGCTGAGTCAGTTGTCAGTAGGCATCTGGGTGGGTGCGAGGGAGTAACTGGCTCAGGCTGTCAGCACAACACTGAGCCAAGTGCCGGTTCAGACATCTGGGTTGATCCTGACTTTAAAGTCAGGATCTTTCCCCAGCCTGGACTGGCTGGGTGACTTCGGCAGACATTGGATTTCAGCTTGCTGTCCACTGAAAATGGTTCATAGGAGTGCACAACAAACTGCAGTCCTGTGATCCACAGAAGTACAGCCAAACAAGCTTTGGCTGTACTTCGCCTTTAATAATAAAAAGATAAACTTACAGAAGTGAACACAAAACCAGCATTGTACATATAACCAGCGTAAGGTGGAGATCCTGAAACCCAGCCGCCACACAGATAACTCTCGCACTAGACAGATGGAGTAGTTTGATTGACAAGGCAATCCTGCCTGTGTACCGTCATCCTGCTTGTGAATGGGGCATATCTCCGTGATGTACAAAAAGTGCTGCAATATTTATAATGGAAAGAAAGTGTTGAACCTCTTTCCCGCTGCCCTATAGCAGAAATATTGCTACAAGGCGGCAGGGGTGTGCATTTCTGGGTAGGGGGCGTGCACCCTACCCACACCACCATTGGCGGCCTCACCTGTCAACCACCGGGTCCCAGCCAGTGATTCCCTGTTGGCACCCGGCGATCACCGTGTATCACGGATGGGGGAGAGACCTGTATATAAACAATACAGATCTCTCCCCTGTCAGCTCCTGCACACTGCTTTGTATGGCTCTGCATAGCAGAGCTATACAAAGCAGTGTGCTTACAGTGTAAAGCACACACACACAGCCCACAGTAAAAACACACACAGCACACAGTTAACCTTTGATCACCCCAGATGTTTACTCCTTCCTGCCCAGTGTCATTTGTACAGTGTCAGTGCTTTTTATTAGCACTGATCACTGTATTGGTGTCACTGGGGATGTCAGTGACAGTTAGTCAGTTCCCCCCGTGTGTCAGAATGCCCTCCACATTCCCACAGTCCTGCTAAGTTGCTGTTCACCGCCATTACTAGTATAAAAAAAAAAATTAAATTTTACAGTATCTATACCGCCATTTGTAGAACTTTCACGTAAACCAATTAATTTACATGTATTGGGATTTTGTTTTAGCAAAGACATGTAGCAGAACACATTTTGGCCTAAATTTATGACAAAATTTGATTTTTTAAATTTTTTTTTACTGGACATGTTTAATAGCAAAAAGTCTAAAATATTGTTTTTTTTTCTCAAAATTGGCGGTATGTTTTTTTATAGCACAAAAAATAAAAAAGCGCACAGCCAATCAAATATCACTGACAGAAAGCTCTATTTGTGGGAAAAAAGGACGTAATTTCATTTGGGTGCAGCATTGCATGTCCACGCAATTTTCAGTTAACCTCCCTAGCGGTCCGATTATGTTCATATTTCTGTGCTCAAAGCGGTAAATTTTGTTGCATGGAAATATGTATTTTTCTTATTGTAGGCCTGTAATTTTTAGGAATAACTCACTGAAATCTGTCCGAACAAGAGTCTAGTAAACATCCCGGGTAAGATAAAACTTGAAAACACGAAATCATAACGTATAATTTAATAAATAATCATAAAAAAAATAATAATATAATATTAATACATTTAATTCAATAATATAATCAAACCAAAAACACTGAAATTTGAAATATAGCGCCAAGTTCTCACATCACTGAGCAAAGTCGCAAAATCGTTTTCAGTATCTGATGACGAATTTCCCCACGAATCATTATCACTCAATTCTGCAAGTGGTTCTAATTTACTATCGTTCTCTAGCTGGTCTAAAACCTCTTTTGACCTAAAGGGATGCTTTTTGGACGTCATGGACTTTTCTAACTTTCCAGGCAGAAAGACCAGTCAAAATGCAGGCAGGGCACAGGACAAAGCACTAGGGACAAAATGTATGTGAAATGGTTTGATACAGTAATGTTTTACTATGTGATTATAGTGATTTTAGTGAATGTCACTTTTTGTCATTTTCAAATTTCCCTCTGTTCCGTCCCCGTACGTCCCGACGCTCGCAGGGGACGGAACCCAGATGACAGATGCCGGCATCCGCCGGAGTACATTACAGGGGACACTGCGGGAGCGCAGGACAAGGTAAGTGATCGAGGGATCTTGGAGCAACGCCGCATGGTAAGCCCGAGTGTTGCTCGGGGTTACCGCTTGTGGTACTGAAACTTTACCCCGAGCTACACTCGGGAATACCGCCAGGGAAGTTAAAGTAACGCAGCGCCGTAATGCAAAAATGGCCTAGTCAGGAAGGAGGGTAAATCCTCTGGAGGGCAAGTGGCTAAAATGACACTTAATTTTATCACACAGACCCGTGCAAGGGTCTTCTATGTATTTTGGGGTACCTTTGGAGGGGTCTGTGTGAAGGATCTCTAGGAAAAAATGCATGCGGCCCCCATAAAAATCCATACTAGGCCCTTAATCTGAGCGCTCCCTTTATCCTCCCTGAACCATACCAGGTCTCAATACGTGAGGGGTGCCTTGCCAGGGAGGACTCCCATGGCAAAGCACCTTGTTCCCATGTTGTTGACTACAAAGAAATCTTTCCAACAATTCTGGCAAGTGGTTGTGTGGGTCTGCAGGCAGGAGGGCTTGTCATAGGAAATAAAGACATAGGAAAAAGAAATAAAAACATCCAAATGTTTGATGTCCTTTTTTTTTGCAAATATAAAAATCCCTTATTATAAATCCATCATCAACCACATTGCTGATTCTATATATGATGCTTGGCCAGAAGTTCCAGCGTTCATCCAAATACACGAACTGCCAAAGTTCGGTCTAAACCTAGGTTCAGATGGAAAAGTCAGCTCACCTCTGTTCCCAATGGCTACCAATATAAGGAGCATTCTTTCCACTGACCATGTGTGTAATGGAGCCCATCTCCCACTGACTACCTGAGACCTCAAAATTTTGGTTCCTTCTGTTAAGAAGGTTGAGCACGCTTACAAAAGATTATGTAAATCACAACAAATAAAATTATTAAACATCTTGCAAGTTGAAAATATTTGGATGAGATAAGCCAATGCATCAGCCTGTTAAACATACATTGTATGGTCTATTTTTACATAGCCAGTGTCGGCCATTACCTAGAGCTGCAAGGATGTCAGGGGAAGCACACACATTATGACATTAAGATATGGCATTACTATGTATAACAAAAATGTTTGCCTGTCAGAACATTCGGGCTCGTCCGCAATGTTGATGTCCCTGCACAATTGGAACATATTTACATAAGGCTGTAGGGTTTCTACAGTTGAAAAAGGCACAGGTCCATCCAGTTCACCCTATATGTGTCTGTGTGTGATTTTTAATCTCGAATAGTTCCCATAGCCCTGTATACTCTGCTTCCTAATCAAGACATCTAAACGTTTTTTGAAGTTGTCGACACTCTCAGCTAGTACCACTTCTGCTGGAGGGAGTTTAATATTTTTATTGTTCTAACAGTAAATAACCCTTTCCTCAATCTAAGGTTAAACCTCCTTTTTTCTAACCTCATATTGTGCCACATGTCCTCTACAGGGAGTTTAGAGTAAGCTGTTTATTACAATTAATAAAGTCACCCCATCATATCCCCCCTTAACCCCTTTGTGCCTAAGGGTAAAACAAGTCTCAATGCTTAAGCACAATTTTGCAACTTTGACATGTGTTAGCAAAACCGCACATATCCTCACAACTACTTTGTGCATCCAGGTGGATTTTCAGGACAAGTTGGACTTTGGTGGTAAATGGTAATTGATATATCTCATGATTTTTTTTTATTACCAAACTAAAACAGCCCAAAATAGTGAAAAAAAAACTTTTTTTTAAATTTAGTTGTACCTGTATATTTCTTGCTACTACCATAACCTACCATCAAAGAACAACCCAAAATAATTTCTCCTGCTCCTGACGATCGCAGCGATACCACATGTGTGTATGTTAGTTGTTTTCTGTACCTGTAGTAAAGCCCAGAAACAATAGTGCGCAATTTACTTTTTTTCTTCCTGCCACTAACTGACACTGATACTAATTTAAAAATTTTAAAAAAAATTCTGAACCAAAAAAACAAACAAATCTGACACTGACCTTTGATCTTGACCTTTGACCCTGACCTTGACCCAAACACTAACCCTGGCACAGACCTAGATCAAATCTTGTTCTAGGTATTTATGTTTATTTATTTATTTAATTTTTATTTTTTTTATTTTTTTTTTTTACATATTCTTTTTTTTTTCTCACTGAAGGGACAGAGAGAGATACAATGTGTCCCTCTCTTTCATTCAGAGAGAGAATACAAGGGCAATGGGCTTCACAGTGACTGATCACTGTGATAGCCAATCAGAGGCTATCCCAGCGATCAGGTGACCCACAATAGGGAGTTTCAGGTCCCAATCATTAGAACGGGACCCAAGGCTCTTAGTGACACCTTGGTCTTTGTGCTGGGAGCATGACATGTGGCATTCTTCCAGCACAAAGACAGGCAGGGCGGACTGACCATTTGGAAACTCGGGGACCGCCCGAGGGCCCAGGGTCAGTAGGGGGCCCCATGAGATGCCCCTGGTACCTTTTTCATAGGCTTTTTTAAATTTGGGCAAGGACACAGGGGCCCCATGATCCCCTATTGCCCGGGGGCCCCATGTATTGTCAGTCCGCCCCTGAAGACAGGTACACAAATTAGCGGCCCCACAGAGAAAAGCCTAATTCTGTGAGGCCGATAATTTGTGTGTGGTCAATGGAGTTAAGCTCCTCTTCCCCAGAGTGAATAACTGTAATCTTTGTGATAGATCCTCATAGCTGAGGTCCTCCATCCGCCTTATTAATTTTGTTGACCTGCTCTGAACTGTTTCTAATTCAACAACATATTTCCTGAGGATTGGTGACCAAAACTGAACTGCATATTCAAGATGTGCCCAAACCAGTGTTTTGAAAAAGGGCAGAACTATTAAATCTCTGGAATGTATGTCATGTCATTTAATGCATGACAGTATTTTGCTAGGTTTGTTAGCTGCAGCTTGGCATTTTATACTGTTATTAAGTCTGTGATCTACAAGTGACCCCACATTATTTTTCCAGCACTGATGATTCCAAGGGGGCCCTTCCTTATGTGTATTTTTGGTACCCAAGTGCAAAATATTACATTTTATTATACTGAACCTGCCATGTAGCTGTCGTACCCTCTATTTCCTCAAACTTTACTTGCAATGATGCACATCATGTTCTGAAGTTATTTCCCTGCATAATTTGGTATCACCAGCAAACACAGAAAATGAGCTCTTCATTCCAACCTCTACACTCCCCAGCTACTTTATTAGATACACCTGTTCAATTGCTTGGTAACACAAATTTCTAATCAGCCAATCACCTGGCAGCAACTCGGTGCATTTAGGCATCTAGATGTGGTGAAGAAGACTTGCTGAAGTTCAAACCAAGCATCACAATGGGGAAGAAAGGGGATTTAAGTTTGAACATGGCATGGTTGTTGGTGCCAGTCGGGCTGGTCAGCATATTTCAAAAACAACTGATCGACTGGGATTTTCATGCACAACCATCTCTAGGGTTTAATGAGAATGGTCCGATAAAGAGGAAATATCCACTGAGCCGCAGTTAAGTGGACTAAAATGCATTGTTGATGTTAGAGGTCAGAGGAGAATGGGCAGACTGGTTCAAGGTGATAGAAAGGCAACAGTAACTCAGTATGTCAATATGGACCAAAATCTCTGAGGAATGATTCCTGTTGAATCTATGCCATGAAGAATTAAGGCAGTTCTGAAAGCAAAAGGGGGTCCAACCCAGTACTAGCAAGGTGTACCTACAGTAATAAAGTAGCTGGTAAGGGTATATCATTAAAAAACAAAATGGACAGCATTTGGCCCCAAGACAGAACCCTGGGGCACACCACTCACAACTGAGTTCCTTATGAGTTCCTTATCACTACTATCTGGACCCAATCATGCAGCCAGTTTCCTATCCGTGTACTTACAATTTTATAAACTCCAACAGATCTTATTTTATAGAATAAATGTTTATGAGGTATGGTATCAAATGCCTTTGCAAAATCTAGATAAAGTACATCCACTGGACTTTCACCATCCAATTTCTCACCTACTTACCCATAGAACGATGACATGTGGGTCTGATAAGAACGGCCTTTTATAAATCCATGCTGGTTGTCATTTATGATATCTTTATCACAGACAAATTTATAAATAGAGCCCTTTATCATTCCCTCAAATACCTTACATACTACTGATGTTAGGCTGACTGGTCTGTGGTCTCCTGGTATACATCTCATTCCTTTTTTTGTAATCTGGTACCACATTTTTTCTATGCCAATCAATATTTGTTGGTGGGAAAATGTACTGTGTATTTACAGTTCATTCACTTGGGTTTGTACACCTAGATTCAAACTTCTAGCAAAGCATTATTCTGTCATTGGTTTGAGGTATACCATCACAATAAGGCAAACTGACTCTTTTAGCCACTCTCCTATCCTCTTGTTGATGTGATACTACGGCTGAACTGTTGATTGGTGATATAGGTGAATGACACATGACAGGCAACCTAGTCAGCAATGTACAAAGACTTCATGCATCCTTAGACTCACCTGAATTACACTCTTTTGTACAAGCTCTGTCTGTCATGTGACACTACCATTAAGCTGTGCTATTGGGGGTAGCATGCATTATACCTTTTAATTCATTTTATATTTCCTGTTTAGTGTCCTCGGAGCTCTGAACTCAAATGCCCTCTGATATGCAAAGGGGTTCTGAGAGAACCTGGCTCACTCTCTCCAGCATCTCATTATTAGCTCATGGCTGTCATAGGTGACCCTATTGGCTAAAAACAGAGTGAGACAGGATAAGCAGTGCAGACTCTTAAGCATACTAGAGCGATCCTCAGAGTTCTCGGTGATTGTAGTTCCTCTGTTTTGCATGGCATTTTCTTAATCCAGCTTGATGTGGGTATTGATTCCTTCAGATACTCTGTTGTGGGATGGTCCCTACATCCCTATGTTAGATCTCTTAGTAGTTGTTACCCACCATGCAGTTGGACTACTTTTGAATGTTTCAACTGGTTATTAATACCTGAATTCCTTTATTTTTGTCTTTGCCAAAAAAATCCCACCCCTCTGTGTTTTTTTGGCTCTATGTACTGGTTCCACACAAGGGTTAGGCATGCTGGTTAGAGGACAGGTTATACTAGAGCTGTCTTACAACATTTTTCTATTTGCCAATGC